TAAATGGACTGTGCTGTCCATTCATACCTGACTGTCCTGTAGGCAGGTGCAGTCAACTTTCTCCACTGCCGGTGGCACTAAACTGCAGCGGCATTGCAGATGGAGAGAAAGTCAGGAGGGACCTTTTCCTCTATGGGTTGCTTGGTCACTGGGGAAGGTATCCAGTTGGTTGCTGCTGCCTTAGGTGACTCTGATGGCCATCTTGGGTCAGGCAGAGTCCATATAAGACTTTGGCTCCCTGGCTTGCCACGCATTTCTGCAAAGTGGATAGTGTAGGGATAGATCAACCGACTGACAGGGAAAGTGAATAGCATTAGACAAAAGTTCCAGATGAGTAGGGAAAGGATAAGGACACACCATCTGTAGCAATTGTGCACACAGAGATGGAGGCGGTCATCCATCTTGCTAAGGATCCTCCATCTTGTATCTCTCTCCCTCCTCCAATCCCCCTCCCTCTCTATTGAGTGACACGTGGTCCCTGTGCTCTAAGGTTTGGAAGTGCACAGGCAATCAGGCACAGCGGGACTGCTTCATGGTTATAAATCCCAAATTAGCTGTTGCCCAGGTGTCTGTTAGCTTCTCAATCTTAGATATCGTAAAGCCATAAACTAGTCCTTCACTGAGCTTCAAAGACATTCCAGCTAGCAGTCAAATAGACTCACATTTAAAAACCCACTTTTCCATATAATTTTATATCTGAAGCTGGGAAATAATTACATAAAAAGCAAGCATATATTTGGTTAGCTCAGTTTAATGCAAGTCGTCTGATATCTTACACCCCCTAGTTGAAATCTACAGGACAGCAGAAAATGATATCTCCTTTATCGTCCCAAGCAGGTATGACATATTTAATATCTAGACGTTCAGCAGATGATTCTGCTTATTAATCTACTAGTGGCTAGGCTGCTACATGCACCTAGGGTAGGTTATTGATCATGATATAAACTGGGAGGGATTTTGGTTCTAGCCTGAGTCCCCCGCCTACAACACCCTCCCCAAATGAGGTGATTGGTTCTCTGCTTCAAGGAGTCACCCTGCTGAGTTCCTAGAAAAAGGCTGTTATGCTTAAAGCAGAGAGTGGAGTTGAAGTTGAAGAAATCTCCCTTTTAACATCGGAACCAACTTGGGAGATAACACCCCTTTTGCTCTGAAACTTGATCTGCTTAACCCAGGACTTTTGGCAAGTACTCTACCTCTCTAAAACTTCTTTCTGTTATCTCTTTGCTGTGTTATTGCTCTCTTTTTTTTATATATATATATATTGGCTACATCTTTTTCTGTAAATATTTTTATTGCACCCTTTTGACCTTTTTAGTAATAAATCCTATTATCTGAAAAGCGTTGAACTGTTTCTAAAGCTCTTTAATGCAAACTAGTAATCCCTGTCTCTGAATAGCGCTACTGTGTGTTTTACTCTCTATATATCTCTGCCTGCGGTGACAGTGGTATACAGACGATTATTCAAACACCATAGTGTTATTGCTAATATTGGTGAGTTTCCTCCTACTCTGTACAAAAAGGTGGTGGTGGCAGTGTGAAGGGTTAATTGCGTAATTAACCTGACCCAGTAACAATCGCTCTCAGGCTACGGCACATAGGTTGTAGTCCATTAGCTGGAAAATCTTTGTGCAGGATGCAGCTGAGCGTGGTATTGTTATGCACGTGACAGCGCGGTTTCAGATTGGCTTGTCCTTCGGTCACGAGTTGGTGAGAAGGGCTGGGGGTCTGACGCTGCGACCGTCACACCATCCTTTCTGGAATCCTCCCATTTTTGTAAAGACCAACCAGGCTGCATTCAGCTCACCAAGTCAGACCCTGTTGGGACATCATAGACCTGCTCTGTTCTACATTGCTGTTACATCTGTGAGGTTTCTGGTCGGGTGCCTTCCAGATGGGTTGTTTGTGAAGTTTGAACTCTGACTTCAAGTTCTGCTTACTGCAACTGGACTCTGTGTGTTTACTGCCACCGCAGTATGCTTCCCCTCCCCACCCAATCAGGTCTGCCTAAAAAATTGACAGGCGGACCTGATTGGATCACCTCAGTGAAAGGGGCCTTAAACAACAGAACTGGGTGTTCCCAAATTTCCTCCACAAATCCCTTAAGGCTGGGTACACACATATGCAGATTGCATTTGAGCCATTTTTGCATTGCATTTTGCGTTGCGTTTTTGCATTTGCGTTTTTGCCGTGTCTTTTTATCTTTCTTTTTTCTTATTACTACTGGAGAGGTCACTAACGTTTTCTCTGAAGTCCATCTCACCATGTGCCCCTTGGATTCTGTTCTCTCTCAACTACTACGGTCACCCTCTTCTTCTGTCCTATGCTCCCTCACTCACATCTTCAATCTCTCCCTCTCTAATGCTGCCTTCCCCACCCCTCTAAAGCATGCACAGATCACTCTCATACTTAAACCCTCACTGGACCCCACCAACCTGAACAACTTAAGACCCATCTATTTGCTCCCGTTTACCTCTAAACTCTTAGAACGCTTAGTCTACAATTGACTGAGTTCCTACCTCACTGACAAAAACCTTCTTGACCCTTTACAGTCTGGCTTTCGCTCACTACACTCCACTGAAACTGCCCTACTAAAACTGACTAATGATTTACTAACTGCTAAAAACCAATGGCCATTACTCGATACTCTTACTACTTGACCTCTCTGTGGCTTTTGATATTGTTGACCATCCCCTCCTCCTCAAAAAACTCCACTCTCTTGGCCTCCGAGACTCTGCTCTCTCCTGCTTCTCCTCCTACCTATCACAACGCTCCTTCAGCATTACCTATAACTCTGTCTCCTCCTCTCCACTTCCTCTTTCTGTAGGGGTCCCTCAAGGTTCTGTCCTTGGACCCCTTCTCTTCTCCATCTACACCTCCTCCCTTGCTCACTTGATAAACTTCTGTGGCTTTAAGTACCATCTCTATGCTGATAACACACTCCTCACCTCATCACTTCAGTCTCCTCTTGCATTACTAACCTACTAAGTGACATATCAGCATGGATGTCACTCCACTTCCTCAAACTAAATCTTTCCAAAACAGAGCTCATACTGTTCCCTCCAGCCTGTGCCCCCTCCCCTGACTTCTCCATCAAGATCAATAATATAACCATCAGCCCCTCCCCTCATGCCAGGGTGCTAGGTGTAATCCTGGACTCCCATCTGTCCTTTCTGCCCCAAATCCAATCACTGTCCAAATCTTGTAGACTTCACCTCCGCCTGTTCTTAACCTCTGAAACCACTAAGCAACTTATTGTTATCTCTAGCCTTGACTATTGTAACTCCCTTCTCATTGGCCTACCTAATCACAGGCTAGCCCCTCTTCAGTTTATCATGAATGCTACTGCCATACTCATTCACCTTACCAACCGTTCCATATCTGCCTTCCCTCTCTGCCAATCCCTGCACTGGCTTCCCATTGCCAACAAATAAAATTAAAAACATTAACAATAACATATAAAGCCACTTATAACTCTGCCCCAAATTACATCACCAATCTTGTCTCCAAATATCACCCAAACTGTCCTCTCTGCTCCTCCCACGACCTCCTGCTCTCTAGCTCCCTTGTCTCTTCCTACCATGCTCATCTCCAGGACTTCTCCAGAGCTGCCCCCATCCTCTGGAACTCTCTACCCCAATCTATATAACTATTGCCTACTCTGCCCACTTTTAGGCAATCTCTGAAAACCTATCTCTTCAGGGAAGCCTATCCTGCCTTCAGCTAATAACGGAATCTTCTATTCCTCCTATCAGTTCATCCCCCACAGTTATTACCTTTTGTACCACCAGCCCCTCCCTCTTAGATTGTACACTCCCAAGGAGCAGGGACTTCCTAACCCTCTTGTATTGAACTGTATCGTTGCTGTATTGTCTCCCATTATATTGTAAAGCACTGAGGAAACTGTTGGCGCTATATAAACCCTGTATAATAATAATAATAATAATAATAATAATAATAATAAATGGACTGTATTTCCTTTCTGCGAAATGTCAAACTCTGCAGAAAGCGCTTATGTGTGAACCTAGGGTAATTAAGAGGAATGCAACTAACCGGTAAGGCTGCATGTACACAGGTGTATTAAAATACTTCCATGTACATTGAATCTTTCTGCCAGGAACTGAACCCAGCATATAACAGACTTGTTTTGATGTGTAATTATGTGCATTTATGCAGGTATGTGGGCCTATGGTATTTAAAAACCTATGCATGTAAACTCATTCTATTGGCTAAAATATTCATTTATTCTAGGCACTAGAATACATTTACTTGCATACATGTGCATTTAAATACATTTTATCTGTGTTTACAAATGTATGTGCTTCCTGCAGGGACATTGTCTTCTGACAGCGGGAGTAATCTTCCCTAAAGAGACAGCACAGCTATTCTGGAGCTGCAGCCCTCCTTAATTTCCTCTATATCCCCCATAGGCCAGCTCTGTACTCACTATACTCCTTGCAGCACATAGTCTGCCATCAGCAAGGAAGGGAATAAGAAATCCATCATCCATTCTAAGTTTTTTCAATGCTGCAATCTATGCAAGGGTCAAAATGACTGTGCAGGACAGACTATGGACTGAGGGCTGTGGTGGTGGAGCAAAAAGTGACTGCTAACCAGTAAGTACATTATATCCAAAGGTCTTCTGGGAATACTGCTGCATAGCACATTGCATTTTGTCTAGTAAACCTGTGTTTAAAGCTGCATCCAAGGCTGGATTTATACCACTGGAGCCTGTAAGATCACATCTTTTGTCTCACTTTACAGGTCCTAACTTGGCCTAAAATGGTGTGAAAGTATGTTAATAATCATATAGAAAATTACTGTATTTCTACTGATGGTAGGGAAAATTTGTAGCTGAACTACACAGAACAAAAATGCCTTGTTGCCTCTGACAGCTATATGCACAGATCAGGGGCGGACTGACAACTCATGGGGCCCCCGGGCAAAAGGGGATCATGGGGCCCCTGTGTCCTTGCCCAAACTCAAAAAAGCCTATGAAAAAGGTACCAGGGGCATCTCATGGGGCCCCCTATTGACCCCGGGCCCTCGGGCAGTGCCCGAGTTTCCAAATGGTCAGTCCTCCCCTGGCACAGATCTACATTGCCTACGTGAATCTTTTAGAATAATCTGCCAATAGAAAAGAGAGTATTTTAGAGTTCCAAACATTTCTTTTGCAAAAATATGTTATTGTCTTTACAAGTAAACCAAATCACCAAAATCTCATATAAACATCTCTATGTTATTGTAATTTAAAAAGCTGTCTAAGATCTTGTAGTATTTATATATATAAAGAATTCCGTTCAGGCACTTCCTGTTAAGGCGTGACAACTGTCTCCCAGTTGTGCCCCTGTACTGTCTTCCTTTCACATACCCTGTCACATGCCCTCTGGTGGAGACTAACACAGTGCCACAGCCACGATGCTTTGCTTTTGCAAAAATGATATCCACTGTCACATTCAGTGGACGGTATTTCCACTGAATGCAACAAATTCAAGTGAATAGGGCTGCACTGCAACCACCCAGCAACCACATACAATGCTTGCGGTTGTGGCACAATTGTATGTGTTTTTCAGGGTTGAAAAAGGCAGTGAGGAGAGAACATATCGCCTCCCAGATGCTTTTCAACCACCCTCTTAAAAGCGATCAACTATGGATTACTTTTCAGGGGGGTGTCACCAGTGTAAACAAGCCCTCATTTTAAAATAGAGAGCGATGTATGTCCAACAGATATTCTACACCTTTAAAATTATATCCAAAACATGAAAGCTTTGAGCTTTAAACTCAAAGTGGTTCTAAAGGTACTCTATGTATTCTATGCCTTAAGGTAAAAAATTCTGCATACCCCCTCTCAAGCCCCCCTAAATACTTACTTGTGCCCGATCTTGATCCAACAATATGCACAAGATCAGCGGCTTTCTTGGCTCTCTCTCTCCTCACTGGACAGCAAAGCAGTTGTGGGTGCCATTGGCTCCTGCTGCTGGTAATCACAGCCAGTGAGCAGAGAGCAGGGTGTGGGGTCAACATGTGCTCTCTGTGTCAATGGAAATGCAGAGCCAGCTTGGAAGCAAGCAGGCACGAGTGCCCCCAAAGGAAGCAGCTTTTTATGGTGGGCACTTGGCAGGGGCCAGGAGCACCAATAGGGTACCCCAGAAGTGTAGGGCTGGGGCTGCAGAGAGCAAGTAAGTATGACATGTTTGTTGCTAAAAAAAATGTCTTTAGAATCACTTTTGGGGTCCATGCACACTAGCTAAAACAAAATGCTGCTTCTACAGGAGTTTTGTGTTTTGCCTGTAGAAGCAGCTCCATGTTATCCTTTGTGTCCATACACATTATGATGTTTAGAGGCATATTTTAAGCAGCATTTTCAGCCAGAAAAAAAACTTATTTTGCATTTTTGAGAGCAGTTTTCTAGCAGAAAAAATCGCACCAAATGTTAGTGCGAAAAGCACTCAAAATTAGCATTTATTCTGCGTTCTAGCGTTTTTTTAAAGCAGTGTGCATGGACCCTATGTCACTTTTGAAACAGACAATGAATTGAATGTCATAGTAAATATTAGAGCAAATCAGTGGGGTATAAAGAACCCATCCATGTGATGTTTGCCCTGGACCCAGAAATACTTAAAACATCCATGAGTAAAACTACATGTCAAAACAATCAGTAGATCCAGAGATAAAGGCAGATGAATTTATCTGCAAAGCCTACTTTTGTCTAGCCAACAAGCAAAAACACTTCAAAGACCCAACTGTTGAAAAGCCTTTTTGTGTTCATTTTTTATCTGTGCTACACAACATATTTCCGCTGTGTAAAAACATCTTATAATCATTTGCCCAAATGAACCTTTAGAAGGAAAATAAGTTCACTGCATTACCTGCAACTTCTCTGCAGAAAATGTGTAAAGTCTTTCATAAATATATTGTTCTTCACCACTTAAAGTGATTGTAAACCTTATTTTTTAAAAAATAATAAATGTGGCCTACTTAAATGGTTTTGCACAGAACAGCCTTGATCCTCCTCCCTTGCTGGTGCTCCTTGCTCCTCCCCTCTGCTGAACTATGGGGGCAATCATGCATGCTTGCTCCCGAGCTGGCTGTGTGTCCGTTGACACACAGGGTGCTGCTCGGCCCTGCCCCCTGCTCCCTCCTTACTGGTTTTGATTGACAGTAGTGTGAGCCAGGGACTCCCACTGCTGTCTCTAAGCCAATGAGGAGGGAAAGAGCAGAGAGAACTGCTGCTCTCATGCACATTGCTGGATTTAGACCAGGCTCAAGAAAATATAAGGAGCTGAGCATTGACATTTTTTACCTACATGCAGAGAATGCATTAAAGTAAAAAACCTTTACAACCACTTTAATCTATTAAGCTCTTGTATTAGCTTGCACAGATATCTCAATCCCTAGCATCAGCATGTCCTTATATAAATAGCAAGCAAAATACCCTTTAGTGATGTTTAATGTCCCCAGCTGCTAAAATTCTACATTATACATTTCAATGTGTAGAGAATCAATTAGAAATGCTCTGTAATATAGCCATGCATTACTTCACAGACATGGAGACTCATGAAAGACAAAGACGGTGTCTGTTGGAATCAAGTTTGCCAGTTTATTCCATTGAGTGCAAGATGAAAAAAAAAATCCAAATGTAATAAATCATAAACTCCTGAACTATAAGAAAATTGAGGTGATCATCTTACATCCCATCTTTGTGGCAGACAAGGAAATTAGTATGCTGGCATGAAACATTCCATAAATTGCCTCATTCGCTTTCATGGTATTTTTTCAGAATTCTATAAACTTTATGTTGAAGTTTCCTTAAAGCAGACTCACAGCTTATTATATTGTTTTTGTGTGAGTAACTCACAAATGTTAAACAAGACTTAGTGAAAGTGATTAAAAAATATGTACTTGCTACTGTAGCCGCTGGATTCTGGGCCCTCTTTAGCACCAGCCGCAGCATAGGTCATGTAGTCTCTGCTGATGGGAGAATCACTATTCAAACAGAGTCGCGGATTTTGGCAGGTCAGCCGCTCAAGTGGACCAGAGAGTAGGCTTAATTCCCAAAGCTGTATAAGATGTATTCTTTATAATAACTCCATATGGTTTAAAGCGGTGTGATGTTCTCTTGTTAGAGTGTTAGAACCTGAAAAGCATAAAACATGCAGTTTGCCACAGCAAAGAGTTGGTATGGCTAAAATGTGGTGGATATTGGGATAAGCCTGTAGGGGCAGGATTGTTATGTGTGGGTTGTTGTGTATTTGACATAGATGTCTGAGCAATGTTCTTTATGATTGACGATAGATCTACATCCAATGGGAACAAGGCATGTCATCTGCTATGGTTGGAGGGGAGGGGTTTGCATGCTTCTTGCACTGCCTCTCTATTTCTTCACCAGGCTGCATGCTCAGATAAGGGTCTGGTATCGATTTTGGGAAGACCCTACACTTTTCTCTTTTATGTTTTCAGGGTTCCCCCTGAAATTCTAAACCAGACCCTAATCAAGGCCTGGCATATATTTTTTTTTTTGGGGGGGGGCATGTTTTTTTTTTTCTTTCTTTATTTGCTGGGGTCAACCTGAAAACCCATACCAGTCCTTCATCAAGGATAAGGGGTTTGTATAGGTTTTGAGGAGAACCTCGCAACTGTTTTTAGTTTTGTCTAGGGGGTCTTCCTTACATGTATACCAGACCCCTATCTTGGATAAGAGTCTGGAGAAAATGCTGAGGGGAATCCCCTGGCCATTTTGTTTCAAAATATAAAAACCTGCCAAGGAAATATGATTTAGTGACACTTGTTTTTTTCTTCTTTCCAAAAGTCATCTTTGCTTTAGTACATTGTATAGGTGTGCCACTTCGTTCACAGGTTTAGGTCTTGTTTACACCAAAATCTCTGCATTCAGTGTGCAGTTCTGTATATGTAATGTGTTTACAATGTGTTTACAGTGCATTTGCAGCACATTTGCAGTGTGTTTTAGGCATTTTTTTTCACTGAATTGCTTACACATTCACTCACGGAAAAATCTCAGCATGCTGTACTTTTTTAAACGCACATGAAAGCAAGGTAAAGGTATAAACTCCTGTACACTCTTTGAAATATATGCATATGCATTCATACTGTGTTTAAAATTGTGTTCAACTGCATCTGATATAAACAAACCCTTAAGGTATTAAAAACATATGTTTTTTTAAAGGATCTTTATTGTTGGCCCTTAAGCACTGGCATGCGCACAGGGCGTGCCAGATGTGCCTGGGCACACCCTAATCACCCTGTGCATATTAGTGTAGCCGAGTGTCGGCTGTCTCTTGTGATCTCTCACCCCACTCATTGCTGCAGGCAGTGGGGGACCTGGAGTAGAGGGCAGTGGGGGACCCGGAGTCCTGTGGGCTGTTTTTTTTTTCCCCCTCCCTGACAACACTGCTTCACAGAGGGAAAGAGCCTACAGCTGTATCTCTAAAACAGTTGAGAGGGCTATCAGCCCATCACTATCAATAAAGTGGCACCAGGTTCTGCAGTGGTTAGCATTGCCTTGGGAAGGGAGGGGTGGGCACCAGCATGAAACAACAATAAATGTGCAAGAGTTTATTTAATTAAAAAAAAAATTAATGCATTTTAATTCATGTTTGTTTACATTTGTTTATAAGGGTGTGTGTCTGTGTGAGTACAATATCTCACAGAAGTGAGTTCACCCCCTCATATTTTTGCAAATATTTTATTATATATTTTCATGTGACAACACTGAAGAAATGACACTTTGCTGCAATATAAATTAGTGAGTGTACAGCTTGTATAACAGTGTAAATTTGCTGTCCCCTCAAAATAACTCAACACATAGTCATTAAGGTCTAAACCGCTGGCAACAAAAGTGAGTACACCCCTAAGTGAAAATGTCCAAATTGGGCCCAAATGTCAATATTTTGTGTGGCCTCCATTATTTTCCAGCATTGCCTTAACCCTCTTGGACGTGGAGTTCACCAGAGCTTCACAGGTTGCCACTGAAGTCCTCTTCCATTCCTCCATGACGACATCACAGAGCTGATGGATGTTAAGAGACCTTGCGCTCCTCCACCTTCCATTTGA